GTTTCTTACATCTCACTGCATAAATATAATAACAGGATGAGACTTCCCAGAAGTTTTCTGTGTGTGTGCCTGTTTTCTCCTCAATATTTCAAGTCTTGAGATGCTCTTTCAGTGTGTAGGGCTTCTTCAATACACGACTCATAATGAATTATTCTCCAAATRCAAGGTGAACAAGCATCTGCAGGGGATTAGGGTGATGTCAAAGTCGTTCCAGATTCTCCATATTAGATGAACTTAAGTCAGGAAAGAAATGAAGCACTGCTTCATGGAATCTTCCAGACACTTAACTCATCTTTGCCATACTTTGGAAGGTAGTTACACTCTCAACAGCAAAAGTTGGTTTTGCCAGATGAGCACAGATGAAAGGACTGATAAAGGCACTGAGATCTATAGGAGTCTTCTTTTCCATAAGCAGACCTTGCTACAGTCACCAACAAGTGGAGTAATCTTTTCAAGATGACTTCAGAATCCTCTCTAGCACAAATTGTAACTTCCTGCTTTGACCYCCAAAGAATGGGAGAGATCATATAATCCATTCTCTGCTGTGGCTGCTGCCCTCTTGTGTAGTCAGCCTGGGCCTAATGGAGTCTCAATTCTGTGCTAAGTTATTCTAGAAAGGAATGAATGTCTCTTCTATTATGCTATTTCTTTTCAGACACAGAGGTAAAGTGRCTCTGCATTTTCAAGCATTCATTTTGCAGGCACTCTTTCTCAAAAATATGTCTAAGATGAACCAAGGCTGCTTGAGGCACCATTCACAGCATATTTGTATGGGCCTTTTCAGTTACTGTGGCAGCTACAGATCCAGCCAGGTGCTGTAGATTGGGCTCCTGGCTGGTTTTCCCCTTTTCCTTGAGATTATTTAGAAGGTTGTTAATATTGAGCAGAGATGTGTGGGGCTGCTTGAGCCTTGAGAGGTTACTTACTCCACTGACTGGAGTTGAAACCACCTCCTATCTACCAGCCTTGTCAAAACCTCAGTCACCATAAATCAGGACTTGTGGCCAGAGTAAAAAGGCACTCAAAAACCACTGAAAACCAGTTCCTAGCCCAGAGGATTAAATGAACACAGGCAATTCCTGATAGAAATTTGCTTAACCTCTTCTAAAACCCTTCAGTACAGGAGTTTTCAGGACTCCTAACTTAGCAAAATCTTTCATTGTCCTCAGAAATACTGAATATGTAAGCTTAGAWTTTCTTCACTGTAAAGTTGATTTCTTGCTGTTTTAAGCCTACAAACAGGAACCAACAATTTTACTGCTTTCTTTATAATAGTTTCCTGCTGTGAAGAGGACTGTTAAGTCCTCCTTCCCATCACGGTACTTGTTTTTGAGAGTTTTTTTCCAAAAGAGAAAGACTGAATACAGTAAATCCCTSCCCAGCTTCCTCATAGGTCAARCTTTCTAACTCTTTGRGCTTAGTTACTGATCTGTTTTGGACCCTTTCCAATTTGCCCACATCTTTCTGAACTTGACAGAGTACTCACAGTGCCAAGTAAAGATGAACAATTGCCTCCCACGTTCTGCAGATGGAGCTATCCTATTAATATGGCCCAGGATCACATTTCCCTCTTTTCCTAAGGAAAAAGCCCAACAGACAGCATGAAAACTCACCACCTACCCCAAGTTTGCCTGATTTAGTTTAGAACCACACTAGACACCSCCCAGAACCTTTGTAGCTGAACTGSTGTCCACAAAACACTTCTTGGTTTATAAATTTCCTTTTCCAAATGAAACGGTTTGTGTTACTCTAATGATTTATAAAAAAATCCACTTTTTGTCTTGCCAGATCATTTTGAATGTGGCTCTTTTACAATGCCAACAATCACACTTTGTGGGCTCTCATTAGTCAATTATATATATATACTCTTGTTTCAGAGAAGGATTAATGAAAACATTATAACATATATAATATATAACACTGTTGGGATGTAGAATGTTACTCTTTAAAAGGGTCTAACGCTGCAAACTCAGACAATAATGATAAAAGCCTTGAAATGCTTGTAAGGAAATTCGTTCCCTGGTGTCTATGATTAGTAGTTTTCTAATCAAAGATAGAATCTTCTGGCAATGAAGTGGGGTATGCTTTGTGTAAGGAAATACAGAAACTCACAGGAGAACTGTCTTTACTGGTAACAGCCAATTTTCAATCCCATGGGGATATTTCCCTGTCTAGAGAGATTTGGTGAAAATCCTCATGTTTTCACATCAAAAAACATGTGAGAAGACAGAGAAGCACAAGAAATTCTCTATCAGAATGGCTCTTAGTGGGGACAAAAAAGAAGGATAAAATATCCGCTTCTCAGCTACATCAAACTTCTGATTTTTACTGTTAATCTAAAGAGACTGGGAAAACAAATTAAGAAATGTGAAAATGGTACTGAAGAATATGCAATACTTTTAATATGCAATATAAATGTTCTTACCTCTATGAGAAAAATCTCTTTTAATAAAGCTGCTCAAATATTTCACATCAAATTACTGCTCTTTGGAAAACTGAGTTTTAAAGTCAGTAGCTTTGGGGAGCAAAGAGTTTTAATGAGGGAAAGTCCTAAGCTTTCTGRGTTTTTTGATTGATTGGATTTTGTTAGTTTGTGGTTTTTTTAAACACCCTTGGCCTAACTGAACAGATCTTAGTGTTCTTATTTCACTTCTGTCAAGAAATATTCCAACATGGAAAACTACAAAAAAGCCACCCACTACYGTAGCTGCAGCTAATGTTTTCAGTGTTTGTAGTACTCTCCCTGGGTCTTAATTTTGACCTTATCTCTTYTTCCCTTGTCCTTGTTTCTCTGCTCCCTTTTGCAATATATCAAGACAACAACATACACAGGGTAGCAAACTGTACTCTGGCCTGCAAGAAACAGTTACTTACGAAATAGTCCTGTTTTGCTGAATTGTGCCTGTATTAGGTCTAGTAACAAAACAAACAAACAAACAAAAAAAAACCAAACAAACAAAAAAAAACCCTATACAAAGAATTTCTTGCAATTTACTTTGGGTATGTCCTACAGTGGTCATTTTTGATAGGGAGTGATTGGGAAGTGGGATTGTTTGGGAAGGGAATAATTATTTTTCTATGTACAGGCCTTTTCATTTTTCTTACACGTGGATTTACTGCCCTCTGCTGTAAGATTAGTACAGAGCCTTCAGCGAACAGATTAACTCCATCTGTAATACCACCTGACTTGGGCAAGCTGTAATCAGAAAATAGCAGTCTCACCTGACAAGGAGAATTAAACTTTGTAGKGGTAGCAAAGCTTTCTACTAAAATAATACTCAATTACGCTAAGATCTTTGTTCTATCTCATCAAAGTAAAGCTATATTATATTGCATTGTCCAAAGGGCACAAAATGCGTGTGCACCTAAGCAACAGGAGCAAAGAAAAATATCAGTAATTATCAAAACAGATCAAATTCCACAAGCCTACTTTTAACACATAATCTAGCTTGCTTAAAGAGAGACTTGGGCCCTCTGGTGGTGAGCAACCTTGATATAAATCCAGAATTTAACTGTGCTTAGCATGCAGGGGAGTGTTCAACATGTCATAGACTATACTGCAAGAAACCCCTGTGAACTGCACATAAATATTTAATATAKTTAAGATATGGCACGATGCAATGGTACTTAAATTACTGAACTGCCAGGAAGGGTAACAATGGTAGCAGRGGCAGTAACAAAGTGAAAATGGCAGGGATATTTTTATCTCCAGACAGCAGCTGGTGACGATATTATCAGGCCTATTCCAGCAGTATAATTCCACATTGAAAATGTGCAAATCTTAATTCAACAGCCTGTTGAGCACTTCTCACTCTAGTCAAAATATACAAAGTAGCGTCACAGTGCAGCCTGACACGCTGTGGGGATCACAGTAACTTGCCAAGAGAAACAGATGAGGAAGAAAGGCAGCTCAGGATGTACTCTACACTCCGGGCTGGTTTTGTGCATCTTTTGTAAAAATAGATTTCTGGTGTATAGTTTTCTTTAAAAGAATATGACCCCCGTATTAAAGACAAGAGAATAGTTCCCATATTTCAAAAATCCATCAATTTTATAAAGATATAAAGGTTAAACTTGTCAAAGTACAATTTTAACAGCATCAGCTATGCTTTTATGTGCATGCTTTATGATAATCCCATTCAATTCATATCATATATTTTGATAAAACAAGAAAGCAAGAGTAGTGAGGTAAAAGGCAAAAAACCCAACCCACATTTGCCTGGTGTTCTTTGTATTTAAATATCCAGTTTTAATGATAAATACAAATGGTCACATACAACCAGACAATACTTAAAAGTACTTAAGAGAAAAATAACWATTTAGCAATTTCCCTCAATCTTATTTCTTTTATGCAGTTTGCTTACTTCTTTCTTGGACCCTCAGGACAAGTATTGCAGCAAATATGCTTCAAAACAGCTACACAAAAGAACTTCAGAAGTAATGAGATGTTTACAAATATTTTGGAAATTGGTGGCTTTTCATATAAATCTTTATCCTTAACTGAATTCAGGCTTGTACAAACACAGGCACAATGCAGCTGGGTTTTGTAACATTGTGCATTCTGTGCTGCTGAGTTAACTTTAAGCTAATAAGAGGAGGCCTGAGRAAATCATTGTACAATCATGATTTACAGACTGAGGGTGTTTGTTTAGAGCACAATGGTATTGCTTAATCCCATCTGTCTCCTACAGCAGCATTTCATTAAGAAGATGCTGCTTTTTTTCTTACAGAAGAGTTTGGGTTCACTGTATTATTTTAAGACTTTTTAATATGCAGAATATGTTATTGTCTGACATGACTAGAGACTACTGTGAACAGAAAACAGAAGTGTGCTTATTTAGAGGGGCATGAGAGACAGACATTGGAAAAAAAGCTAAGGAAAAAAAATTGCAGTTTCAGTTTAAAATGGCATTCATCGCAATTTTGAAGTTAATAAAAAAACACTTTGCAGGTGAAATACAAACTGATATAAGTGATCAAATATGTGTCCTTGTACTAACCATTTTAGATGATCAATCAATGAGGATCAAAATTTCAGGTCTTTCAACTTTTTTCTTCAACATACACAGCCAGTGTAGCAGGAAAAGGTCAAGCAGTGCAGGATTACATAATTTGCTGTAATCAAACAGAAAAGAGATCTTGCTTTAGTTAATACTTCTCTTTCTCACGTCCAAAAGTGAATCTTGGTGCTTATAGTCCTTTATTATCACCTTGGAATAAGTATTTGTATATTATTACATTTGTATTTACATTTTATAAATGGAAATGCTATGTAATAGGTTTATGTAAGTATTAAAAAGGTAGTGTAAATTAAATCGAAGCTTTAATTTTTTTAGCAATTACGAGTTATAATCTACTGGGCAGAAGAAACAAAATAAAAACAAATTCAAGGGCAGAACATTATCTTACAAGTGGAGCATGAAAAGTTTAGTGTAAGTCATAATAAGGAAGTTAATTGTGAATACATTAAGATAAATGATTGACCACAGGCAAAACATTTTAAGAAATGGCTTTTCACTATCATAAAATTGTTTGGTTTATTGAAATAAGAAAGTGAGGGGAGAGGTTCATTGCCGTTTGAACGCACAGCAAACAAAAGCCAGCATTACCTACTAAACCCTCAACCAGTTGTTTGTCCGGGACACAGAGTGGGGATTTATTTAATCCTAGAAGGAAACTCACCAGGAACTGTGTAAAGACAGTTTGGGATTCTTGCCTGGAGACCGCTGTCGGGGTGATCGGGTGAGGAGCGCACCTTTGCGGCAGCATTTGGGAAGGAAGAGGGGGCCGCCAYGGGGAGATTTCCTGGGGGCTTCCTCAGGGGATGGCACAGGCATATCAGAGGGAAAAGGGTAAAGATTCTTTCGATTCCTGTGAAACGTGAGGGGCTGCTTTGCGCGGAGCCGCTCCAGAAGCGAATATGTCAACACAAAATGCCTCTAGCAGAACGGTACAGCAGCGTTCCGGCCAAGATCCCCAGGTTTTTCAGGAATGAGCCCTCACAATCCCCGCAGCTCCCTCTTGGCGGGCCGGTTCTCAGCGGTGTCCGCCAGGGGGCAGTGCAAGACCGTGAAAAACCGCGGGAAGCGGGGCCGCTCCCCCCCATCCCATCCCATCCCATCCCATCCCATCCCATCCCATCCCATCCCATCCCATCCGCGGTTCGTTCCCTCAGGTGCAGCCCCTCAGCTCAGCGCAACAAGACCCAGCTGTGCCCGAATACTCATCTGCCCCAATTCCACTCACCTGAGGCTAAAGAGAATACGGCACGGCTAAACAGAAACATCAAACCAGAAATAGAAACACCAGGCAAGTTCAGAACGGCATCACTTCAGCCTTGTCCCCCGTTCAGAATCCCTCACGGGAGTTGTTTTGGAATATGGCAAAAGTGGACCCACTGTCCTTAATTTAGTTCTGTTACCTCATCTTGTCCTTATTCAAGCAAAACCATATTGTCCCCAGCTGCTGTGCTGTSATTGGCAACAGGTGCTAAAACCCGTGTTTCCTGGGCTGCCTCCGAAAGCCCAACAGTTCCTGTCCAAACTGCAGCAGAAATGACACTGAGAAAGTTAATTGAGAATACAGGTTCATCCAATTCTTTACAGAACTTTTTCCTATCTCTTAACACAAACCCAAAGATTAAGACTAACTGAGTTAGATCCTTCCTGGATGATTCTATGTGACAAAAAACAGGCTTCACAAGAAGGCTCTCCAGCAAAGCCAGAACTGCAGATACTCTTCCATTTTCCTGCTATTAACTGTGACCACTCTTTTGAGGCCAACTGACCACTGTCTCTGACAGCTTTGCTGCAGCACCCATTCAACTTAGGGGCACTTTTTACTCAGGATAATAAAACTGTACTTGTAAAGGCTGAATCTGTAACATCAAGTTTTACTTAATTTCCCCATGAAGGAAATTATGTTTATTTTTTGGGTTTTCCTAGTGTTATCACATGTTAACACAGCAAATTGGTTTTTGGCACCAAACTCTGCTTGGAACTATCTCTTGCCYCTTGCATCATCAYTCCTCATCAAGAGCCTTGTCTATTYTTAAYGRCTAAAGCACTTGTTTCAAGAARTTGRAAGAAATGAGAATATTGAAAAACAAATATTGAGTCTTCAGTTTTCATCTCATTTCTTTCTCACTCACAAAAGGCAACCGACTCAGAATATCTTTGTATTTTTCCCTTTTACACAGAATTTTTCTTCCCCACTAAAAAAGTAATGGTCTCCCCAGCACAGCCTTATATAGCTCTTTGAGTAGAATCCCTCTCTAAAAATAGAAATCTCTTTGACATTGAAGCTCCGGGCAGCAAGGAAACTGTTGCATTTCAAGCTGAAGCTTTTGGAAAGCGTGCTCTGTATTTCCTTTACGAGTGTCCCACAAATGTCCAAAATGCACGACCCATCTTGCTGTGAACTTTGAGCAAACAAGATTTTGTTTGGAGCCGGTACTGTTGCAGCAATACCTTCTTAGAAATAAGCAATAAAAAAAGATGCAGCACTGGCAAAAGGTGCTGGATTTCCAGCTCTGCAAAAATAACACTCTTTCTTTACCCCTGCTGCCCCCAGACACAACTGCCAGCTTTTCCCAGACTGCCTGACTGGGMAAGATATCCCGAGTTAAGCCCAACACTTGCACTGAGGACAACAGGACAGATGAAAACAAACAAACAGAAATCTCACACACCAGGGTAGCAGGTTTTCCAGTTTTCAGGMAGACATTCCTCTTGGGAATACACGGAAAGGAAAGGGCAGGGGGGACACAAATCCTCTCCATCTGGCTTTTGAAGATGTTGACAACTTGCTCTTACTAAAGGCAGGGACAGAACAAGCCAACTCTGCCAGCATGCCTGAATTGGAGACTGTAAGAATAGGAGATCTAATTCCTGGGAGCACTAAGTCCAGGAGCATTAAACAGAGCTCAGCACCTCCGTGTCAGACTGGCCTCAGACACAACTGTGCAAGGGCAGCAGCCACAGCTGGACTATTGACATGGGAACCAGAATTCTGGCTCAGCTTTCAAGTTACTGTCGGAGCAAAACAGAATTTCCTCAGTGTTCTGACTACTACAATCCATTTGCCATGCCAAAATAGTTCTTCCAGCACTGTAATATTCCCCTGGCAGCATATCTAACRTGAATTTGAAAGTGCTGATATTTCCAAATTATGAAATACATGTGAGAACTGACCTTAAAATCTGAATGAGGAGATGGGGGTATGATTCCAGTCTGCCTTGGGAGCGGTTTATTCAGCCTCCAGTTCCAGGGCAAGTCTCATGCTCTACTCATAAGGTACTGCGGTTCTATTCTGTTTGGTCCCACACTGGAATTCTGATACATGACTTTATGCAGGATTTTATTTAAGAGCTGAAAGGCAGACCATAAATACTAATCTCTGTGTCAATTTAATGAAAGCTGCACAAGTTGTCATATATGCTCAAGGGCTGCCTTTACAAGAAAGGATTAAGGGGGTGGCAAAGTGATCTTTGCAATAGAGATGCTTATTCCTATTTATTTGATAATTATCTTTGGCTAAAGTAATTTCAGATTAAGCCACTGAAAAAGAAAGATGAATTTTATATGAGGTTTGCATCATTACACCTGTGCCCATTTTAGAGCTTGATAAAATTGATTAAAATTCTCGATATATTCTTTAAAAAACCGAGACTCACATAAGGAAATCTTTGTGACAGATTACTGGCTTTAATTTTCTGTTTAAAAGCACAGGTTCAAAAACTTGCCTATTGTTGTTACACAAGTGTGTGAGAAAGCCCACAGAGGGAAYAATTTGTCTCTTAATTCCCTGGWSGTTTTGRAATCATCTCTTGGGAGYCTCMAGCCACCATTTCCCCCATCATTAGGGCTTCCAGCACAAGCACAGAAACTTCGTCTCCTCTTCTGGGAGGAGAATTAGACCACTGACCTTTCCTGGCTGGCTTGGATATCCTTGGTGTCCATCCACCCTCTGAGCCATCATTGCTCCTTTCCTGGCCAGCTTTATTTGAGTCACCAGGGAGAGGTGAGGCTGRTGAACATCCACATTTCCTGATGAATCACAAAACAGGAGCTGTCCAGGACAGCAGCCAGGCAACACTGGAAGGCCTTGACATGAACCTATGTGTTGGCGCTCACAGGACATTCATCTGCTTTGGCAGAGCTTTTCCTTCTCAACACCAAGGCCTGAGATTCCTCMGTTTTTAAAGGYTATTTCAAAATATTACACCCTAAGMATGAGGGATGMTTAGGAAATGAAAAKACTCATAATTGATTCTGCATGCTTTCTTTGATTGTTTATTTAAATTGTGAGTCTTGGGACACTTGTCCAAAACTCTATTTCATGGCTAAAGCTATTAGTCAATATAAATTTGTCCACTACCTGTCTAAGACATGAAGCAATTTGAGAAATGTCAAGGAAGAGTGAAATTTCAGTGAAACAGGCAATTTTGAAACTCGTTAGTAAGAACTTTCCCGGGAAGGAGCGAAGCTTGAATCTAGCTGACTTATTTTGAGAAGCGAAAGGAATAGATCCAGTTGAAGAGAGACCAACATGGTGGAGTTTCAAGTGAAACTCTGGTAAATAAATCCAGCAGCTTCCACAGAGGACCCATTTTAGTTAGACTAATCCTGAATTTTATTTAGTTGAACAGTCCAGCCACAGATGACCACAAGCAATGGGAGGTGGAATACAGCCTCTGTAYTGAGCTTTCAGCTGAGTTTGGGCCACTGTTTGATTTGTACTTCTCCAGTGACTTGGAACACAGTGCTTTCCTTCGAAGATTATTTGGCATTGGGCATTTTGTTTGTGCATAACACAGAAACTGTTTAATGTGTGTTATCTAGATGCTGCCTTTACCAGATGCTTGTGTTTRGTTTCTTTGAACAATCTCTCTCATTTGTGCTAATACAGTCACCAAAGCCCCCCTACTCTGTAATCTGAGATCTGGCCCAGTTGTGCCGAGCTTTGTACACACAGAAAGCTCCCACAATAAACACAATTCCACTGCTTTCTCCGCTGGGACTGAGGCAAAGCTTCCAGTTACCTCTGCATGATCCTGCTGGTGTTGACTGAATTGCTGCCTCAGCAGTGAGGCAAGTAGCAAGAAAT